AAAAAAAAAAAAAAAAAACAATCGAAATATTTGTGAAAAAGTAATTTTTATACCTCTTTTTCTTTTCGCTTATCTTTTTTTTCTTTTTTTTCTTTAATTTTATCTATCTTCTCCCGTTTATCTATTTTATCCTTTTTTTCTTTTATTTTTTCTCCTTTCTCTTTGTGCTTTTCTTTTTTATCTTTCTTTTTCTTTAATTTATCTTTTTTCTCTTTCTTATGTTCCTTTGATTTCTGAAAATAAAATTTATATATATTTTATAAATTATTTAGAAAAAATATTTTCTTTTAATTTTAATATTTCATATTCTCAATTTATTTTTTATAAAATTATTAAAAATTTTGTTGAACCTCTATGATGTTCTATAAATATAAATATATTTTTGAAATCTTACATTATTATTATAAGTGTGTAAAATAAATATTATTTATTACATCACAATATTATGAGTGTGTAAAATAATTATTATTTAATACAAATTAATTCTTTATAATTCTTATTTTTAATAAATTACTACATAAAACAATCACTAAATTAGTGAATTTCCGTTAATTAAAACATTCCTACATAATCATATAATATTTTAGAAATTTTAGAGCATATAAAAACATTTAGCTCATCTCAAATGACCTCGAGTTTTATTTATTTTAATTTACTTTTTTTTTATGTAAAATTCAATTATTTCTAAGAATGGTTTATATTAGTGATGAATTACTTAAAACATTGAAACCTCGAAATCCCTAGAAATTTCGGAACTTCGTAACTTTTTCATGATTCGAAACTCTCAAAACTCAGATAAGAAAAAGAATAAAATGAATGAACAAAGAATTTGCAGCGTGAATAAAAACTTTGATTCATGTATATCTCGAATGTTCGGTGCGAAATTGTTTTGAAGAATATACATAAGCAGATATACAATCGATTGTAATTCTAAGATGACAATGTAAAATATTCAAATCTAAAAAAATTATGAGAAAGAAGATATCTTATTATACTACCATCAATAGTATAAAACTTTTCAGTACAATATAGTCAAAGAGAGAGTACAATATAGTCAAAATTCAAATTTTTATCAATGCATAACTCAATGAACAATCAAAATTATCCTTCTGCTGCATTCACTTTATTCATTTCTATTTATCTTTCTCATCTATAATTATGTATTATATCTTATGTTTTAAGAGAACATTAATAACCTATTGAAAAATTGCTGTATATATGTATTTTTTTTAATATAAAAAATATCATTCAAACATTTATCTATATACCGATGTAAATATATAGAACATTGAAAACATTGAATTTGATAATTATTATAAATAAATATATAATTATATAATAAAATATATAGAATATATAATAAATAAGATAAATTGATCATTGTTACAGCTGAAAAAAATTTAAATAGCTAATGAAGTAAAAAGTTACCTTATCATTTTTATCCTGTTTTTCAACTTTAGGAGGTTTTGAAGATAATAACGGCACAATAGGTACTGATTTAGGATACGTAATTGGTGCTGCAAGTGCAGATGATAAAGGCGGTGCAACGGTACTTGTAGGAACTGATGGAGGTATCTCTTTGTCCTGTTTAACCGCCTTTGCTTTATCTCCTTTTTCTTTCTCCGTTTTTTCATGTTTTGCTATTGGAGGTGCTGCTTCAGTACAGGAAGGTGCTGAAGGAAGTTTCTCCTGATCAAAGGACTTGGTCTTTTGTAAAGTAGAAAAATCTTCAGTTTTTGGTGGAACATTTAAAAAGCGAGGTGGTAATGGTAAATTTGGCATTGCTGGATGAGAGCCACTGCTGCCTCTTCCTAAAGGTAATGGAAATCTAGGAAACATAGGATGAGGTATTAAACCAGGTGCTGGAGGAAATGGAGGGAAAAAAGGAAATGGTAGTGTTGATGGAAAACTTGGTTCTTTAGAAATTTGAGGTTCAGGTGCCTGTGGAGTTTTCGGTCGATCTAGTATATCCTGTTCTGGCCCATCGTTGATAATCTTTGTCTGAAAAACGCATATCGGCGATGTCTTTCGGCATCTTTTTCAAGCAGTTAATAGTGCTCGCATACACGTACACGCACGCGTGCACTTATGTTAATATCATATAATGCTGCATTTAAATAAAAATCAACCTACCTTTTTCGGACTAACGCAATATTTTGGACTCCTTGATTTTAATTCCCTCTTTTTATTAATTTTTTCTTTCCTTCTCTTTTTATGATCTGTAGGTGTTGTGGGCATGTTTAATTCTGGAGTTCTTGGTGTACTAGGAGTTCCTGGTGGTGACATATCATCAAACATGTAAACATCTGATTCTGGACTCTGCAAATCAATTAATTCTCCTCCATCTGATGGAAAATGAATATCTGGTGTATGTGGGGTCTTTTTCTCTTCTCGTTTTACATCAGTATCATTACGAAGTGCTTGTTTGTCAATATTTTCATCAATCACTAAACCAGGTGAACTCTCTCTTGAATCAAGTTCTTTGTATTTATGTTGTTCTGACATATCTTTTTCTTTATCTTCTCGTGGTTTTGAGATTTTTTTAAAAATGTTCAATTTTTGTTTGTCTGGTTCTGATGGAAGTTTATCAATATTATCTTCTTTTTTTTCATTAGATGGTGATTTACTGTTAACATCGACTAATTTTTCTGGTTTTGTCTTTGGTTGTGTAGTTTTTTGTAATTTTGGACTACCAGCTGTTTTAGGTGATATTAATTTAGGAGTAGATGGTCTACTTGATGAACTTGGCATAGTACTTTGTAATTTGCCACCAGCTGGTTTTAAAGGCTTCAATTTAGCTAATTCCTTCATACCAACTAACTTTTTAATTTTATTATCATCGATCTTATCTGATTTAAATAATTCTTTAGCACGATTCTTTTTCTTATTTTCTTTATCAAGTTTACAATCTTCCAATCCTTTCTTTATAATCTTTTTTGGTTTTTTATCATACTTTAATTCAGGAGGTACCATAGGATAAGAACTAGGCTGTGGCGAATCTGAATGAGTTTGATGTGGAGTTCGTGCTTCAGGTAACTTTCCTTCTCGAGCAGGTGATAAAAAACCTGACGTAGTCATCATGACACTATGAATTTCACGTAATGGTCTACCTTCTTCTAATACTTTTACACGCTTTACTATAGGGCTTTCAAATGAAACAGGATCTCCAGGTCGTTTAAAAACTACTTGTGGTGACATCCTATGAGGAGATACATTTATAGAACTGTTACTTGATGTTCCATTACTCAATGTTATGTCAGATGTTCCATTTATTACACTTTCTGCTTTCTCTGCTACATATTCATCTGTAAAATGATATACTATTAAAATAATGTTAAAATTTTTATTTAAAATAATTGATTAAATTGATATTTATTTTCCTATAAGTCAGAAATTAAAGATTTAATATTCAATATTTTTATTGATATTACAAGTATTCATAACAATTATTTTATGAATTATTGATCATGATAATTTTTTGTGAACAAATTAATTCTAAATTAAAATACTGTATTTTTGTACTCCAATTACATTCGTATAATGTCAAATAAAAATAAAATTTTATTTAATAAATGAATGTGTTGTAATATCTTATCAAAAGATTGTATAAAAAATTATAGTTTATGTTTATACAATTCGTTTTAATTTTCGTACTCTTAAATACAAATATATATGTGTAGAATATATTGTTTTATGTTTATTTCAATATCTTATCTTTACTTAAAATTTTTTTTTATCACACTCAATATATTTATTTTAAATAACTTATAAATTATACAAATAAGTTGTGTCTTTTTAAAGCTTTATATTATACAACCTATCCTTTCGTTTTTTAAATAAATTAAATTGTTGTTCAGATTGTTGAAGAGATTTGCAAATTAATTTTATTTGTGAAGAGAATTGTAAATACCTTAATTAATGCTTTAATTTTAATACTTTCAGGGAAAAGAATTTTCAAATCTATAAATAAAAAAATTTAATTAGAATTATTTTCTTTTTATAAAAAATGATCAAAGAATTATCAAAAATTATCAAAGAATTATTCATTATTGTATAATAGTGGCTTTAAAAAATTTCCATATACTATATTTTATTTTGCTTCAATATGCTTCAATATGTTTCCATATACTATATTTTATTTTGCTTCAATGTGCTATGGTACAATTAAATATAATATTACAACACTTTATTTAAGACTATAAATATGTATAATCCAAATTAGATAAATAATTAATGAAGATACGGAATATATCAGGAAATAAAGCAAAATATATAAAAAACCTCCATATGCAAAGTTATAAAATAATAAAGATTATGATTTTTACTTGTCTTCTTGTTTGCAGTAGTCAATTGATTTACTTTCGAGTTTTAATATTTTAAATTTTATGCACAATAATAACTAATTGTGCGATAACAATGGACTCAACATTATGTAAACAATATTATATTTTTTAATGGAATAAATTTCTAAAAGTTTGATTTGGTATTTTTTATATTGTATTTTTTTTAATATTTTTTAAATTTCTTCTCATAGATGTAGAATTATTTCTCATAAGTATGAAATATAGTAATTATTCTTTGACTTTTTTCACAGTTTTAGATTATTATTGATAGAATAAATCTCCAGAAAACTGTGAAAAAAGTCAAAGAATTCAATTTTTGCATTTTTTTGGACATAAATTGTCTTTTAGAATATTTAAATAAATATTTAGAATCATGATTCTATTAATAAAAACCAAATCTCCTATCTTATTTATACTTATGTTGTATAAAACATGTATAAAACACCGTATTATTGGATGTAAAATTTTTTATTTTCATTAAACTTTTTCTAAACAAATCTGATGCAAAAATATCAAATTTATTTTTCGTTCAATAAAACGACAGAAATTTGTTTCCTTACTTGTTTTTGCAAACTATGTTCGTTATTTTTAATTTATATTATTAATATACATCTTTTCTCTAGATTGATTATATATTATATTATAATTACTTAATTATGCTTACTCAAATATTAAAAATTAAAACTTTGTTAAAGTTATATAATTTACTTAATAAAAAATATACTTTTTTAAGAATAAAT